TCTCTCTCTCTCTCTCTCTCTCTCTCTCTCTCTCTCTCTCTCTCTCTCTCTCTCTCTCTCTCTCTCTCTCTCTCTCTCTCTTGGTGCCTTGGCCAGTTTGGTCAAGGTTGTGGAAGACCCATGTCTGCGCTGTCTATGGATGGCTTTGAAACTGTTATACGAGGGGTCAAGTGGGCAGGCCAACCGTAGAGGGGTCAGATGAAGAAAATAAAAAAAGGGGGTACCAAACAGGGTAGTGTGACAATTTAGAGGTAGGAAAAATACTGGGGGGACCAGCCCGTGAGACCGGTTCAGGCCGGGACGGGAAGGAAGATGTGGTTTGGGGTCTGGCGGCTGATGCCTGGCGGTGAGACCAAGTTTTCTTGAATGCAGACTTCTTAAATTTTTAAAGTTCTTGAAAAAGGTTGGCCAGTAGTACCGGGCCCGGGGAACCAAGAGGGAGGGACCGATGTACTTAGGACAGATAGCAGGGCAAGAGTTGTCTGAGAGCTACAAAATCTTCAGATTTCACCTCCTAATGAGTCCGCTCGTGGGCGGACGAAACCCGTCGAGGAATGCGACGAAGCTCGTAGGAGGAGATGGTGGCGATGGAGTGGTCATGGCAAGATGGAAACGGGGGTGTTTGGTAAGAGGGATGGGAAAGGGATATGGAAAGCAGGGAGACCCTGCGTGGCGCTGCGATATGTAAATTTTGATATGATGAATGATACGCAGGGAAGAGTTCTATTTTGTTGTGATCATGCCAGCTGCATGGGCCGTTTTGCCGCAGTCTACCTACACTCTAGGGCGCATGGTAACCGGGAGTATTGGGAGCTTCACGGTGGTTATGTCTACACGGTGGTATGTGGTCTACATGGTGGTCTACACGGTCTACACGATCTACATGAGGATGATTACGAGTACGTGTACGACTACAAGTATGTATGAGCAGAAGAGTAGAGGAGGAGGAAAGTAGAGGAGTAGTGTGGTAGTGAAGGGAGATAAAGAGTAGAAAAGTCGAGGAGCACGGAGAATCTTTTGGCTAGCATTAGCAAGAAGTGAGTTCAGACGAGCGTAAGGGTGGAGGTAGAACGGAGGACGACGAAGTTATTATACGGGCCAAGTTTTCACAAACGGGATATGTTACGAAGGCGAGTAATACACGGGGACGAGAGCGAGGGTGCGGTATTATGGTGAGGCGGAACTACGTACGGTGATAATGTACGGAGGAGGGGCGACATGATCTACGCGGTCTACACGATCTACACGATCGTGGGTACGAGTACGAGTACGTGTATGAGTATCTTTTGGCTTGCGTTAGCAAGGGGGGAGTTCAGACGGGCGGATGGGTGGAGGTAGAACGGAGGACGACGAAGATCTACGGGCCAAGCTTTTACCAACGGGATATGCTACGGAGGCGCGTAACACACGGGGATGAGAGCGAGGGAGCGGTGTTACGGTGAGGCGGAATTACGTACGGCGATAATATACGGAGGAGGGGCGACACGATCTACACGGTCTACACGATCTACACGATCGTGGGTATAAGCAAGAGTACGTGTACGAGAAATTTTGGTTAGCCTTAAAAAAGGGGGAGTTAAGATGGGCGTACGGATGGAGGTAGAACGGAGGGCGACGAAGATATACGGCCAATTTTAACATCGGGATAAGGTACGAAGGCGAGTAACACACGAAGACGAGAACGAGGGAGCGGTATTACTTTGAGGCGGAATTACGAACCGAGAAAATGTACGGAGGAGGGGCGAACCAGCAGGGAGGGACGGGAGGGTACGGGAACTCAGGAGGCGCTGAAGGAAGCTACAATGGCAATACGGGGGGAGGCTATGGTAATAACGGCGGGGGAGGCTACGGAGGGAACGGAGGGAACGGGGGCAGGCAGCCGGTAGTCTGCTACACGTGCGGGAAGTCGGGCCACTATTCACGTGACTGCTGGACCAAGAAGGGTAGAAGCGAGGATAACGAAATAGAGGAGATGCGACAACATTTTAGACAGGTGATACAGGAGAAAAGGGAGGCAGAGGAGCGGAAACATGATGAAGAACAGAGGAGGATTCAAGAAGAGAACGAAAAAAGAAGAGAGCATGACCTCATCAGAAGAACAGAGGAGATGCGGCTGAAACTGGAGGCAGGGCTAGAAGAGAAATGGCCGATGCAAACACGACAAGCTGAGGAAGCCGTTGCGGCGGCAAAGGCGAAGGCCGAGGAGGCAAAGGCGAAAGCGGAAGAGGCGAAGGCTAAGGCGGAGGAGGCATGGGCCAGAGCTGAAGGGGCTATTATGAGGAGTGCTACCAAGATGAGAACACCAGCCGGATCATCAAAGAAACGAACACGGATGCTTATGTCGGGATCGGGATCTGGAACTGAGGAGGAAGAGACAAGAACAATAGCGGAGGGATCGAGAGTGAAGAGTGGCAAAACATTAGATGCAAAGTACCGCACAAATAAGAAACGACCGCGGGTGATCCTCTCATCGACCGAGCCAGAGGAAGAGACTTCGGATACTTCGGATAGCGAAACCACTGATTCTGATGAAAAGTTTCGCAAGGTAATCGAGATGTTGAAGATGAAAAGGAAGAGAAAGAAAGCAAGGAAGGAAATGAAAGGGAAAGGGAAGAGGAAGAGGGAGGCTACACCGACGAGGAACGGGACGACGGCGGAAAGGGGAGAATGCTCGAAGCCGAACCAACGGAACAAATGTAACTTTGAGAATTGTGATGACGTTTTGAGGAACGCGAACGATATTGGGGCAGACTTCCAAGAAGAACGGACCAATCGGGCCGAATATCATAGCCCGATTCCGTCCGTTGGGGTGAGATTTGGAGTACCAAGCAACCATGGCGAGACGGATGGGGAAAAACCGAAGACTCCAATGGAGAAAGGCTACAAAGGGCTCGCGGCGAAGTGCTCCAGGGAGGGAATAATAGACTACTGTTTATCTACTCAGAAAATTCTATCGTCGAAGAAAGCTTTCCTATTAAGGAAAATATGCCAGAAGAAAGGTATTCGATATACCAAGAAACCTGAAATCATCGATGTCCTAGCTCGGGAGCAGGTGATGTTAGCGTACGAAGGTTTTGAGGAACCAGAAGATGGAGGAGACGATAGCGAGCAAGCTACGGTCAGGCTGGGCGAAGACGTCCTAACACAAGATCGGAAGGGGAAGACACGCGAGACGAGATCGTCTGTGAAGTCAGCACCAACGCGGGTAACTTTGAAGTCGGCACCAGCGAGGGAGCAAGAACCAAATTGACTACCTATGCCCCTCTGACATGCAGCTTATGGGAAAAGTTAAGCTCATACGTGAAAATGCGGTCGACACTATCGGGGAGGGCAGAAGCGGAGACCTGTTGGGAGAAGTGGAACGGGTGATCACAACAACTGTGATCTTACTCACTTTGAGGGGACAGATCCCCTGGTTAACTAAGTATATGTCGAGATCTGACGGAATACTCGATCTTATCGATCTGAGGCAGGCTGGGGTCTACATGATCGCCAGCCCGTGGTCAAGGAAGGTCTATATCGGTAGCACCATTCGACCACGGATGCAATAGGGAATTCGCCGAAGTTATACCGATGGATGCGACACACGGGGATGGACAACTTCGTTGTCATACCTCTTCGACATGCGAATGAGAAGGATGACCGGGCGTTTGAGATGCATCTGATTCGTGATTTTTCACCAAGTCTTAACACCTGCAATGCGAAGGGAGAGGAGACGTCCGGGAAGCGGAAGGGGAGGACAGGAAAGASGGAAAGAMGAAGGAAGAGACTCAAAACTTACCAATCAAAGGCCAAGACGATAGTCAGCTTCAAGACCGAAAATGATAGAGTCTCACTTACCTCTTTTCTCACTTGGTTWGAGGAAGGATGGAGAGMYGACAGAAAAGTTGAAARAAAGGTGTTTTTCCAGAGAGGARRAATGTGGGCGGACGGGTGGAAGAAGATACGGAAACTGTTCGGGTTGAYGAAAGTGAGAGTTGGTGGGAGACTGCGGAAGCTGCAATCAGTGAAGGGAGAGCTCCAGAACGGGGCTGAGGCTACTCTGCTGRGCATTACGAGGACCACGAYGACGACGTCCARGCATATACAAGAGCTACGCTGGTTGCTGAAGAGCCCTTTYTTGGCTACTGAGCTGGTGACACGTTCGACGAATCAGCTGGTGGGGCTGTACCGTGCTGCASGAATGTTYARTRATRAGAAGACAARAAATKACCTTCRTTTGAAGATCGACCGGGCGATACGGAAAAAGAYGAAGGTGGGAGTGAGAAGAAGGGTGACCGTAAAAGTTYSGTATGATAGAAGACTAGTGAAGAAGAAAAKCAGGGAGACTGCAGCAGGGGTAGTGAGCAAATGTGTCGGGGACAAGGCAGTTGGAGATGTGATAAAAAACCGAATCAGGGTGACCTGGTGTCGGAACAGAACAGTGGGGGAGATTATCCATAACCATCGAAGGTACGCAACTGTGAAGGAACAGGTATGTCAGTGTCGGGGTTCAGGGCTACCGACCAAGGAAGGACATGTGAGTACGAGGTTTTCAGATTTGAACGACGTACCCGATTTTGTGAGAAATGCGAAGAATGTAACTCGACATGAGAGCATGATGGAGGACGGACCGGTGGTGCAAGCCATTTTGGAGGCTACGAATCATCTGAAGAGCAGAATTGAGGACGTCAAGTTGCCGGAGGGAGGTTTTTTATGTGGAAACAGCAAGTCCGAGGAAAACGGAGCATGGGAGGATACGACAGTGGCACAATGGGCGAAGAGATTTCAGGGAATGGTTCTCGCACCTATCGACTGTAATCAGGGAGATACCGCTGTCGCGTGTCCTTTGCTATACAGGCATGCATTCGGGAAGACTTTCGTCTGGAACCTAGACTACAAAGGAGTGGGAGGAGACGAGAAGGGGCTTCTGGCACAAGCCAGAAAAGACTACGAAAAGGCGGAGGTGAATAAGGTGGAGGGGTGGAAGGTGGATGGACGGATAGGACGTGCATACGTGATCCCAAAAGACAAGGACTTGATGAGGTGGCGACCCATTGCACCAACGACGGGCGATCCGGCGGGCCAAGCGTAGAGGAGAGTAGCGAGGGCACTGCATTACCTTATGAAACGGTTCCCGGTGGAGCAATCCTTCTATCTGAATTCGATACAGGAGTTACCAGCACGGCTGCAAGGGGCTACAAAAAAGGTTGACAGATGCACAATGTACAAGGATGGAGGGAAGGTGCTACGATATCAAGGATATGTTCACCAGGATTCCACACGAGGCGGTACGAAAAGCGATATGGAGACTACTGGTATGGTATGCAAACAGGGATGAAAGCAGGTGAAAGTCTCTAGAAGGGGGAAACTATGTACACTCAGCAAGACAGGCAAGTCTGTCGATGGGTACGTGAGTATAAATTTTCAGCTCATTTTCAGATTGGTGAATTACGATCTGGATCATGCGTACATCACGTGCGGARAGGAGATTAAGAGACAGGTGTCCGGGATTCCGATGGGAAAGTCTACCAGTCSAATTCTGGCGGCCATCACCTGTGCGATGGCAGAGTACCAGTTCCTCACTGAACTGGGAGGAGATCGTAAGCTTGTTGCAGGATGGAGGATCGTCGACGACATTAAAGTGATTGTCGGACGAASGATGGATGAAGAAAGGCAAGCAGCGAAGCCAGGATATTTTCYAGAAGCTGGAGTCATGCTACGACAAAAATCTGCATCTSGTCCGGAAGGACGAATCCCGGGACTGGTGGCATTTCCTAGGAGGCACCATGTATGTGCTGGACGACCCGGTGAGACTACTGTACGTGCCTGAGAC